GTGGGGCACCTGGGAGGACATGAACGACGGTATCACCAGCCTGGAGCAGTGCGGGGTCACCATCGAGGAGAACGAGATGGGGTTCTTCCTGCGCCAGCGCGCCTACGTCGACAAGATCACCGAAGCACGGCCACCTGATGGAGGACGGCACCGACCGACAGACAACCTGCGCGACAAGGACCAGACCGTGCTGCGTGCGTTCTGCGGGGAGGTCTACTGGCTGGGCGTCAACACCATGCCCTTCCTACTCGCGTGGGTCGCCGAGCTCCAGTCGAAGATTCCTGAGGGCACCCGCAGTCTGTTCACGGCCGCCAACAACATCGTCAAGCTGATCAAGCAGAACCAACACATGGGACTTCAGATCCACCGCCATGACTTGGACGATCTGGCCGTCTTCGCGCGGTGCGATGCCGCCTGGGCCAGTCGGCCAGATGGCCATTCACAAGGAGGCTACATCACCGCCATTGCAGCCACAAAGGCCATGGACGGCGAGAAGTCGCAGTTCACCGTGCTCGACTGGGGCTCCAAGAAACTTCGACGCGTGGCTCGCTCAAGCCTGGCCGCAGAAGTTCAGGAAGCTGGAGATGCTGAAGGCGAACAATGCATGGTGCGGATGGTGCTGGCCGAGATCCTGCTAGACAAGTCTCCCATCCTGGAGAAGATGACGATGCTCCATCATTTGCCGGCAGTGCTGGTCACGGACTGCAAGGCGTTCTACGACGGGGTGGCACGGTCGCAGTCGGCCGGACTCGGGCTCGAGGAGCGACGTGCAGCGATCGAGGCCCTGGCTCTTCGGAACGCACTCGATGAAGGAAAGACCGTGGTCAGGCGGGTGCACTCTCACGCGCAGATTGCGGACGGGCTCACAAAGGGCAACTGGCAAGCGTTCGGTGTCCTCAAGCTGTTCCTGGAGAAGCAGGAGTGGAGGCTCATTTACGACGAGAACTTCATGAGTGCACGGAAACGGGCCGCCATCGGCAAGGGCATCTTCGGTGCCACGAAGCCCGAGGACGCTGTGGCCGCCAAGCAGGTTTTCGAAGAGCGCCGGAAGTCCAGGCAGCAGCAGGAGCTCTCCAGGGAGATACAGACAGAGGACGGCAACGTGAAGCCGAGCAGCTCTCGGCAGGGTCAGGACGACCCCGTGAACACGGCAGCTTCTTTTCCGCCTGTCTGAAAGGAACACAGAGTAGCATTTGCTTGTGCAGTTCAGATCTAGAGGCTTCTCTGTGATGTCATGTTCTGCCGTGTTCTGTCACCGCCGCTCACTGGCTCAAGGTGTGGGCGGGCGGGCTTGTTTTACCTAGGCCGCTGGTTGCAGCTGCACAGATCGCGCTACCGGGGCCGCGATCGTCTCAGGAGAGCAAAAGGTGCTCACCGCGTGGAGAGGGATTCTGATTTACTCGTAAATCGTGGACAGGATTTTGGACATCTTCGGAGAGAGAGGTGAGCAAGTTTGAGAACTTCAGGGACCTCTTGAGGCTCTTCGGGATTCAGAGAGGGGGAGGAGGGCAAGCTAGGTGAGCTCGCGTCATATCTGACATCCTACCCCTCCCACCTATCCTTTACCCTGGCGTAGATTCCCTCTTTACTCGCGCAGTCGGATGTCGAGCAGGGCAATGATCCCGAAAGGGTACGCGATACATTGTAGAGCACGGCGTGGCATGGCGTAGAAAAGCACCGCAAAGCGTAGTATGTCACAGCATGGCGTGGCGTGGCGTAGTGAAGAATTGCATCACAAAGCTTTGAAACGCAAAGCATGGCATCGCACAGCGGCCCCGAACATAACATTGCATAGTATGGCGTTGAAGATCAAAGCGTAGCATGGGATAACACGACGTGGTACTTAAGCGCTGCATATCACAGCTTCAGCTGAAGGCATGGCATCGCGCAGCGGAACGCAACCTAGCACTGCATTGCGTGCCGTGGCATGGCACGGGAAATGACGCCAACGCTGCAGCGGGAGCACGATCCGGAACGAGCGGAAGCGCGGAAATGAGGCCAGCGCTGCAGCGGGAGCACGAGACGGAACGAGCGGAAGCACGGAAATGAGGCCAGCGCTGCAGCGGGAGCACGGTTCGGACCGAGCGGGGCCCGAAAATGAGGCCAGCGCCTGAGCGAGAGCAGCATTTTGGAAACCATGTAGGCGAAAACCCAACTCCGGGGAATCCTGTGTGTAAAAAACAATACGCGGGGGGGGGAGGGGGGGGGCGAACACTCCCAACCTGCCATCAGGTGAAGGAGGAGAGTAGTATTCATATTGAGTAATTGTGGAGGAGGAGGAGGTGGAGGAGGTGGGGGAAGAGGAGGAGGAGGAGGAGGAGGCGGAGGCGGAGGCGGAGGCGGAGGCGGAGGAGGCGGAGGAGGAGGAGGAGGAGGGGGAGGAGGAGGGGGAACGGGAGGAGGAGGAGGACGACGACGAGGAGGAGGAAGAGGCGGCGGAGGGGGAGGAGCGGGAGGAGGGGGATGCTGCTGATGATGATGATGATGTTGATGATGATGATGATGATGATGATGATGATGATGATGATGATGATGATGATGATGATGGTGATGGTGATGGTGATGCTGATGCTGATGATGATGATGCTGATGAGGATGCTGGTGATGCTGATGGTGGTGATGATCATACTGCTGATGATGCTGGTGCTGATGATGCTGATGCTGATGCTGATGCTGCTGATGATGATGATGATGTTGATGCTGCTGCTGCTGCTGCTGATGATGATGATGCTGATGATGGTGGTGGTGGTGGTGGTGATGATGATGCTGATGATGATGATGATTATTATGATGATGATGCTGATGCTGATGCTGCTGCTGATTATGATGATGATGCTGATGCTGATGCTGCTGATGCTGATGCTGATGATGATGTCGATGATGCTGATGATGATGCTGCTGATGATGATGATGATGGTGATGTTGATGATGATGATGATGCTGATGATGATGATGATGATGATGATGTTGCTAATGATGATTATGATGTTGAGGACGATGATGATGCTGATGATGCTGATGATGATGATGCTGGTGATGATGATGATGATGATGCTGATGATGCTGATGATGCTGATTCTGATGATGCTGCGGAGGATGAGGATGAGGAGGAGGCGGAGGAGGAGGAGGAGGAGGCGGAATATGAGGAGGAGGGAGGAGGAGGAGGAGAGGAGAGCGGATGGTGAGGATGAGGATAGGAGAGGAGGAGGATGAGGATTAGGATGAGAATGCGGATGAGGACGAGGAGGGGAGTAGGGAGAGGATGATAGAAGGCGGAGGAGGAGGAGGAGGAGGAGGAGGAGGAGCAGGACGAGGAGGAGGAGGAGGAGGAGGAGGAGAGACGGAGGAGGAGGAGGAGGAGGAGGAGGAGGAGGAGGAGGAGGAGGAGGAGGATGAGGAGGAGGAGGAGGAGGAGGATGGGAAGAGGAGGGGGAGGAGGAGGAGGAGGAGGAGGAGGGAGAGGAGGAGGAGGGAGGAGGAGGAGGAGGGAGAGGAGCGGGAGGAGGAGGAGGAGGGGGACGGACGGACGAGACGGAGGAGGACGGAGGAGGACGGAGGAGGAAGGAGGAGGAGGAGGAGGAGGAAGAGGAGGCGGGAGGCGGAGGCGGAGGCGGAGGCGGAGGCGGAGGCGGAGGCAGAGGCGGAGGCGGAGGCGGAGGAGGAGGAGGAGGAGGAGGAGGAGGGAGGGCGGAGGATGAGGAAGGAGGCGAGGAGGATGGAGGAGGAGGAGTTGGAGGAGGAGGAGGAGGGGAGGAGGGGAGGAGGAGGAGAGGAGGAGGAGGAGGAGGAGGAGGAGGAGGCAGGAAGAGGAGGCGAGAGAGGAGGAGGCGGAGGGAGGCGGAGGTGGAGGCGGAGGCGGAGCGGAGGCGGAGCGGAGGAGGAGGAGGAGGCGGTGGAGGAGGCGGAGGCGGAGGCGGAGGAGGAGGAGGAGGAGGCGGAGGAGGAGGAGGAGGAGGAGGAGGAGGAGGCGGAGGCGGAGGAGGCGGAGGAGGCGGAGGAGGCGGAGGTGGCGGAGGAGGAGGAGGAGGAGGCGGAGGAGAAGGAGGAGGGAGCAGGAGGAGGAGGAGGAGGAGGAGAAAGAGGAAGTGGAAGAGGAAGAGGAATAGGAAGACGCGGAATAACAATAACAAGACGAAGACGAAAACGAATACTAATACTAATACTAATAGTATTACTAAGAATACTAATACTACTCATAATCGGACGAAGAAGACTAACAATACTGATAAGAATGTGAAGAATACGAATACTAAGAACTCGACTAATAATAAGCTGAAGAAGAAGACGATTATCACGAAACAGACGAAGACGAATCATAATACTACTCATACTAATAGGACGAATATGTAATACGAAGACGGAGCCGGCGGACACAAATAAGAAGACCAATAATACAACGAATCCGAATACGCCGAGTATTGAGAATAATAATACGAAGAAGTCGAATAAGAATACTACGAATACTACGAATAATACTAATACTACTAATGATATGACGAAGGCTGCTACTAATAATAAGACGAAGAATACCACGACTACTAATAATCATGATCAGACTAACAATAGTAATACTAATAAGAAGAAGACGAATAAGACGAAGACGAATACGAATAAGAAAAATCAAACTAATAAGCATAATATTAATAATAAGAAGAATAATAATGATAATCACACGAAGAAGACGAGGAGAAGGAGGAGGAGGAGGAGGAGGGAGGAGGAGGAGGGCGGAGGAGGAGGAGGCGGAGGAGGAGGCGGAGGAGGAGGAGGCGGAGGAGGAGGTGGAGGAGGAGGAGAAGGAGGAGGAGGAGGAGGATTTTTTTGTTCCAGTGCGCTGCGCACGCCCAGGCTCCTTGTCGCGTGCTCGCGCGGGCCTGCACGCGCGGGTTTGAACCAGAATGCCTCGAATGCGGAGTCCGAGTGTTGCTGGATGTCGTTCGACACGCTGCTGACTTCCTCAACCAACCGACCGAAGAAGTAGAAGAAGCCCGTGATGATCTTGATCACGAATTCTGTAAGTAGCCAAGCCTGCGGAGCACAGCCAGCCTGGAAGGCCCAAGCGAGGCCAACTGCTCCTCTGTGAACGTGTGCGAGGCCCCCACGAACTCCGCGCCGCCGTCGTGGGAGTGACCCGAGAGTTCTCCACGCCCCTCGATGCCACGCACGGGGGAGCCCTCGCAGGCAGAGCCCTCGCCGTTGTCGCCGAAGTCGCCCTCGACGGCGCCGCCGACGCTCTGCAGGTTGCTGTAAATGCGCTCGGGCCCGTCGAAGCAGGGCGGCAAACCGAGCTGGTCGTCGTAACGCTCGGGCCCGTCGAAGTAGAGCGGCGCGCCGAGCTGGTCGTCGTTGAACTCGGGCCCGTCGAAGTTGAGCGGCGCGCCGAGGTCGTGGGAGTCGGGCTCGAAGTGGCCTTCGGAGGCGTCGGGCATGAAGTCGCCCTCGGAGGTGATGGGCAGGTCGCCCTCGGAGATGTCGAAGATGTTGGGCAACGTGCCCTCGATGTCGGTGCTGTCGGTCTGCTGGTTGGAGTCCTTCTCTGGCATGCACTGAACAACTGGTTTGTACACGGTCATGGCATCAAACGACTTGACGATCGTAGGACGCTTGGGCAGAAACTCTTCGAACTGCAAGGCCGAAGATGCGCCCGGCGTGAAATTCGTAGCCTCGCAGAACTTGGTGGGCTCTACTCATTCTTCACCTGGAGGAGCAGCGGCAGCGGCGGCAGGGACACGAGACACCTGCCGATGCTTACAACCGCCGATCCCGTAGACGAAGCTGATCCCACAGGAGTCGCAGAGCGCGTCGCCCTCGTACCGCTGACCGCCGAGAGGACCTGCGAGGACGACTGGCTCTCCCTGGGGACCGCGATGGAAAGGCTGTGCACGTAGGCCTTGAGCGTCTTGAGCCTGAGCCTCTTCTTGTAGTTCTTGATGGCCGAGGTCTGGCCGCGCTTCTTCTTCTTCTTCTTCTTCAAGTTTTCCTCCTTCTTCCCGATGCTGTGCTCCAGCTTCACGGTGCTGAGCGTCTTGTGCCAGCGCTTCAGCTTCTTGACGGGCTGCAGCGGCGGAGAAGGTGGCGCTGGAATCGTGCCCATGATCGGCTCCTTCGAGGTGAGGACCAGGGTGTTCGTGTCCAGCTGCACCTTCATGTTGTACTCCTCGCCCATGGTCGGCTCGTCCCAGTTGCCTGGCGGAGGCGATGGAGGAGGCCCCAACGTCCTGCACAGTGATGTTGACCGAGAGCCAGCCGCCATGATGAGCAAAGGCCGAGATACGCGCTCCCAAGTCGCCACCGATGAGCGGGTAGGGCACCAGGAAGTCGAGCCTGCGCATGCACCAGTAGAAGTACAGATGGAAGCAGTACTCGCTGAAGTACTAGACCTCGGTGTTGCGAAGGATGTGCTTCGTCTCAAGCCGCAGCCGCCTGAGGGAGGCAGCGTTCAGCCCCGAGGGGGCCACATGCGCGCGGGGCGGCCATGGCGCGCGGCGTCCCTGGCTTGAGAGGAGGAGGAGGAGGAGGAGGAGGAGGAGGAGGAGGAGGAGGAGTATTTTTGTACGCTGCAGGGCCATTCTCTACCTCACCGCCCGAAGCCGAGGCCAGGGAGGCGGCACAGGTCAGGCGCAAGAAAAATGAGAGGCACGGCCACGTCCCCGCAGCAAGCCTCGGCCTCAGGATGGCGACTCACGCGGAGGCCGCAAGCAGCCGCACGTGCAGGCCGCGCGAAGACGCCGAAGCACGCCCACGTCAGGAACGGCGGCACGACGATCCGGACTGGCCGTACGGACAGAGCCTCGCCTAAGGCAGCACTCCGCACGCCAGCTTGCGCAGCGTCTGCACCCCGTAGTGGCCCAGGTGCTCGCCGCATGGCTGGGCCAGCCCACGAAGAAACACGCGCCCAACGTGTCCGCACTTCAGGCAAGCATGGGTCTTCAGGTCGGGCCAATACCCCAGCAAATGGGACGAGTGGATTTCTACCCCCTGCACGGTGATCTTGCCCTTTCCTACCATCTGGACTCCTTGCAGGACGCCTTTGTGGCATGGCGTGGCAAGAAAAACCTCCAACCGCGGGCCGCTCGCGCTGCAGCCGCACCCCTTGCAATGGAAGCTCGAGCCCACACGGCCGCTCAGCTCGTGCTCCGACAGCGCCAACTTCACCTTGAAGCCGCGGTGCCCGGCCCTCGTAGGCTTGATGCGGCGCGGCTCTGCCTCCGAGGCCTTCAGGAACGCCATCGTGAGATGTGTGCGCACCGTGGACCCAATCGCTTCGGCCATCTCCAAGCTGGTGACCGTGCTGGAAGGCACCTGGACCCGCGACGCCCAGTCGCCCGCCAGCTCATCCGCGATCTGGTTGGCAGCGTGCAGCGTACCAATTCGGTGGCACGCCGCGCGCCTCCGCCACCTCCTGGTCCAAGTGGCTTTCGATCTTCACCACGGCCGTCGAGAGCAAGTGAGGCGCACCCTGCAGCGCCTCTTTGATCTTCTGCCACAAATCAATGTTCGTCCTCGGGAGGACGCCCCGGACGATCTTCCCGAACCCCCTCACCACGTAGGAGGAGTCAGTGACGTAGGTGATCCCCGCGCCCAGGCACTGCAGGTCCACCAGCGCAGCCAGGAGCGCCTGGGTCTCTCCGCGGTTGATCGTCTGCCTCGGTCCCGCCAGGCCGCCTCCATGCCCGAAGGGGGACGCAACCGAGGTGAGCTGGTGGACCCCGTCGACGTCGCCGAACTCGCAGTCAACAACCGCATAACCCCATCCAACGCGCCTCAGCTTTGCGCTGGCCGAATGCTCTCCTCCACTAGCGTCGCCTCCAACCAGCAGCCACCCCCGCCCCTGCAGCGAGGCCGCGTCGCCACACTGGTCCCCCAGCGGGTCGTCGGGCGGCTCCTCGACGTATGTCCACGACGCGGGGAGGATGCCTCTGAGCCAAAGACATGGCAGCGCGTCCACGTCGCTGCTGGCCCGCTTCTTGAGGTTCCTCGAGACTTTTCTGAAATCAGAGTTACACCTGCAAGTCCACGACCAGTGAAGATCGGTCTCCTCCTCCTCCAAGCACCTGGGGCACACCGTGGACATTGGGCCCTGCGCTATCGAGGACACGCGATGTCGAGTCCACGCTGCACCGGACATGACGGCCTCCATCGCGCCAGCAAAATGATGCTGGCCCTTCTTCCACGGAGCCTTGAGGTGCCGACGGGCACCCGAGAGGTCCGCGCGCCACCCTCCAAGCCCTTGCCGTGCCAGTGCTGCGCGGCCCTCTTCCACATGTAGCGCTGGATCGATGCGGAGAGCTCCGCCTTCAGGGCCCACATGTCCTGCGGGCCCTGGCCAATCATGGAGTCGGGCGCTCGCAGCTGGACCCCGTCGTCGCTGGTCCAGTCCCAGGGCCCAGTTGGGGACCAGCCAAGGTCCAACAGGGTGGCGATCGTTGCGGTGACGATGCCCGTCACGCCCTTCGACCTCGAGGTTCGCTTTCGCCCCTCCAGCTTCTCCTTCGCCCTGGCCCACGTGATGCGGGCCAGCGCTAGGTCGAGCTTGGCCGAGAAGATCACCTGCATCCAGGACTCCACCACCTGGTGGACCATCTGCACCTGCGGGTCTTTGGCGCCCACCTTCAGCTGCAGCAACGTGGTCAAGCATCGCCCGGGCCACTTTTTTGCCACCGTCTGGGCTATAGCCCGGCGCCATCTCAGGATGACCGAAGGGGCCGCGCCGTACACCCTGTCGGAGTAGCCGCCCATGGGCAGGACGCCCATGAGCGCCACCTTGGTGGCGATCCGCCTCCGGACCGAGCTCCGGGCAAAGCGCCGCAGGCGAACCAATCGGCGGCCTGCCCCTGCACGTCTGGCCGACTGCTTCGGGCGGCGCGCACCCACTCGGCCCCTGTCAATACCCAAGTCGGCCGCGACCTCCTGGACCTTCACCTGGAAGCCATGGTCGGCGAAGTGCTGCTGCAGCTGCTTCGCCACCTCGTTGTCCCCGGAGATGATGGTGGACTTGCTCGAGATAACTAGGCCAGCCTCGCGGCAGCCCTCAGCGAAGGCAAGACCCGCGGCTTCCAAGACGCCCACGGCCCGCCTCGCCCGGCCCTCGACCCGCAGGGTGACGTCGTCCACCCACGAACGCACCGAGGCCCCTGGGCCCCCGCGCGCCGTGGCCTCCAGGATGTCGTACAACGCGCACCTGGAGAAGTCCACCGCGCCGCCGAGCCCGGCGATCATGCTCATGCACGGGTAGAGCGCTTCCGAGAAGTACCCGCTGTCCTTGAGGACCCTGCAGGCCATGTGCATAAGCATCTCCAGGCCCAACACCTGCGCGGCAGGTCGTGCT